CGGAATCCACGCCTTTGTCCCTTCCACTCAAAATAAATACTTTTTCAGGGTTTAGAGAATGGAGTTGCGTTGCGTTCAACCATTGCCTTCAACCGTCGTTAACCGTTGCCTTCAACCTTTTCTCAGAGCCTAGCAGTTTCTCAGAGCTATGGGGATGGGTTTTTTCTGTTCAAACTTCGAACTGATTTTTTCTGTTCAAACTTCGAACTTGCCTATTTTTTTTTTTTTTTTGGGACCAACTTCAAACTTCAATGCTGGATATTAAATTTGGGTTTGGGTTCCTCACATACCAGATTGCAAAACTTTATCTCAATTCTCCCTAGCCTTTGGATTGATCTGATGGCTATAAAGTGAACCCTTTATAACTTACCACTTATAACTTTCCACTCATTATAGTCTTGCCTAGTTTACACAATTAATCCTAATTTTTCTCTTTCTAAAGTAAACACTGGGTTAGAGCCCACTCTAGCCCAAGCATGGGTCCGTCCGTGCCTAGAGCTGATGCTCTCACCCCCGCCCCAGCACCCATGGTTTTGGAGGAGGTTGAAGAAGACCAGGAGGAAAGGACCATATTACCCTCACAATAAGAAGCATGTGCGGCTCACGTGATTTTTTATATTTTTTATTTATGGCAATTTGGATGAAATTGCCTCACATTTAATGGTAAGAGCGAAATTGACTATTATAATAGAGTTCGAGTGCTAAATTGACCAACCAAATAATCGAGGGGTGTAAGTTCGAATAGCGTAATAATTCAAGGGGGGAAACGGCACTTTACCCTAAATTTAATCCGTCGGATAAATATCCATATCATTTTTCCAACAATACTTTTGGATAATTATTATAGCCAAACATCGTAGCTGAGGTTACTCCAAGCTTGTATTAGAAAGGATCAAGAAGCACACCCGGCCCAGGTCCGTACAAAATTGTTTGTACACTCCTAGAATCTGGATATCTCCTACCCACTGCATATCTCGAAATTGTTTGTAGTTGAAAGTTGAAGGACCTTAAATCTTATCTGTACAGGTAGACCAAAAAGAGATTCTGATCAGATTTGAAGAATTTGTTCAAATATAGCTCACTTGCATACCATCCTATTCAAACTCCATGATTACCTTTCCACAAACACAACTTATACTAGGCAGTGAAACTCAAATCAAATGCAATCATGAACGGATTGCTAGGCATTGGCCAAGCTCTTTTACCAAATATAACATTATTCACATGCACTACTGAGGTCAAGGAAGATACATAAATCACACATGAAATATTTTTCACTTGTAACCTGTTACATTATTAACGAACATAGTGCTTTCTTCATGTATAAGGCGATCTTGATACATGTACTTTCAGCACACAAACAAAACCATAAAGAATGTAGGAGCTCAACATTTCATTGCTTTCTTCATGACAAAATCCCTTATGAACAGTGGCAGATGATACAAGATTGTGAAAATGGTAGAGAGCTGGCCATAGGAGAACCAAGCTAGCGGATTCTCCTTCAGAATGGCAGCCGCAGTCCTCTTTGCAAACTCTTCGGAAGAGGTTGAATGGGGTCCTTGTGACATAGTTGCTCTAGCGCGGATTGCTGCTTCAAAAGGTTTATATAATTTCCATTCAGGCATCTGGTTGTAGCCGGCTAAAGCAGAATTTCCAAGGTTTGACCTAATAGCTCCAGGTACAACAGTGATTACATTGATCCCAAAGTGCCTGAGTTCCAATCTAATAAACATTGATATTTTGCGGATAATTAGTAATCACAAAGAGGGAAAAGAAAACAATCAAAGATGACAAAGCTGTACATAATTAGTAAATTTAAGTGGCATGTCACCCAGCAAGAATTTTAAGAAAAGTATATCTGACATTCCCACAAACAGATGTTAGATGGGGCAGAGATCATTCCTTTGCAAAAACAAAAGTTTCATCAATTACAATCTATGTTGTTCCTAGTCTTAAACTTGTATACCCATACTTTCATTTTGATTGAATTGCATGCTGAAATCAATACAACAAAATTTTATACAAAATAATCATTTAAGAAATCATGTTCTTTCTTGGCCTTCCATTTAAAACAAATGGCTAGGAATTTAGGAAAATTATTTTTGTCACGTATCTTCTAACATTTTCAACAAGAATTTTGTTGATGCTGCTTATTCCTTTCATAAGAAGAGTTTTAGCATGCTAGTCACTTCCTACCATTGAAATAACTCAGAAGAGTTTTATCCAAGCACCAAGATTTCAATTTTTATGAGATGAACGGGGGAACACTAGTAGATACGAACCAGAGTATTCTTTTGATGTAATTAGATATGAACCAAAGTTTAAACTGAGCATAAAACAGGTATGTAATATGAACCACAAGCGATATGGGGATGCACAAACCTTAAAGAATCAGAAAGTGCTTGAAGAGCAGCTTTGGATGCTGTGTAGGCACCAGCCCATGGTCCAGGGGCCAAAACAGTAACACTTCCAAGATTTACAATCTTTCCCTTTTTCCTTGATGCCATGTGAGGGACAACAGCTTGTATCAACCTCATGGAACCTTAATCCATGGTCACAAAAAGAGTACATATGCAATCAATCATCTTGAGAACAAATAAAGGAAAATGCTAAGGAAGACAAATGAAAAATGTGCTGGCATCACTGCATGAGACAATCGAATATAAATGGAATTTATAAAATCCTTCTGAAAGCCTATGTAGAAGATACTGCCCATGTGCTTCATTGCATTAGAAGACCAGTTAAGCTCCAGTGCCACATTTAGTAAGAAAATAAAGGTTGACAAACTAATGACAAAATTCCTGTTTTATACAGAACCTCTGCAAAGCTTTAACAAGTTCATTAATCCAATACTGATCGAAAAATTTCTGTGGATGCAGTCAATCAGTAATTGCCTAAAGGGTGTATTGTGGTGCCTTCAAATTTTTGCTGAGTTTCTCTGGTTTTCAGTAGAGAGTGTGAGAGGCATAGGGTTTGTGTATTTTTGCTAAGTTTTTGGGCATATGTTCAAATTAGAATGAGAACAAATGAAAACTGATATCTTATAGCTAAAGGCTCACATGATTAAGAGAATGATATGCAGCAAATTTTAGACCAAACAAGCCACTGGGTAACAGACCTGCTTGGCAGTTAATAAAGGAAAGTTTTGGTGACCACACAAGTGGATGTGTTTGGATTTGTCAATTCCCCCTTTACCCTCAACAGCAATTTGAGCTAAAACCCATGTAGCTAAACATAGTAAAGCAGGCAACAAACCAACAAACAACACAAACAGTATGACAAGCAAAAAGAAATCACCATTAGCAAGTAGA